CCCCGTGGGACAGCACAGCCCTCGGGGTGTCTTCAGCCCAACCATTCCCCGCAGGTCTGGGAGAGATCAAAGCAGTGCAGAGCCCTCCTGTCTGCTGCAGGGCGCTGAGGAGCATGTGCTGGGGATGGGGAGTAAACAGACATCAAAGACAGCTTGCGAAACACCGGATGTTGTCAGCCCAATTACATTCGGGCACTGCCGAGCCTGTTGCACCGGCTCTGTTGGCGCGGTGGGTGTTGGTGTTGTGTGGGTGCTGTTGGTGTTGCACAGGGTGCAGGCAACTGCCGTGCCGCCCCCACCTCCAGCCCCAGAGGAGGCTCGTGGCCAGTTTACGGGAAGTCGGTTACTGTTGGTCGGCAGCAGTGACGCTTCGCTTGTGTTACACTTTCTGAGCTGCCAAACCCCACTTCCCAGCTCTGCAACGCTTTGGCTGCGGGGCTGTTGGTCAGGTTTTGTTTTGTTTCATTTGATGTCATGAGAATGTTGGCACTCGGGTACTACGGAGCTGCTGGCACCGTGCTGCTTTTGGAGGACACCCATCACCCATTGTGCCTGCTCCTGCCACAGGGCACTGAGCAGTCTGCAAGCTAATTTGCAAGACCCCCAGCTCAACCCAATTGGGTCATTCCTTGGTTTATGCCACACGTTTTATGCTTAAAAACAGCATTCCTACCCCGTTCCCTGTGCTCTCTTCTCTAAGTACAGCTGCTTTTTGGGAACCGGGGTCCCTAGAGCTCTGTCCCAGCTCTGGATGCACTCACGTGTTGTGTCACTGCTGCCCCTCCGCACAAAGCATCAACTCTGTTTGTTTAGCTTTTTTTTTTCCTGCTCAGCTGCATCTTTCATCTCCTGCTTGAGGCCGCTCAGAGCAGGAAGCACTGCTCCGAATGCCTTCAAAGTTCAGCCCCATTTAGAGATGCGGTTTGCGCTGAACCTCCCCTCTCGCTTTTCCTCCGGACCATCCGGGAAGCAGCTCTTACACGAAAGCAGAGCAGCGCAGAGCCCCCGCGCCGCATCCTCCCCTGCACTATCGCGGCTGCCCGGGTTGAGCACAGCCCACCCTTCCCGTAAATGCTCACAACTGCTGCGGCGTTTCTTAGAAAAGGGCCAAGTTGGTCCGGCGCTGCCGCCGATAGCCGCGGCGTTTCCGTCTGCCGCTGGTGATCCCATCCACCATCGCTGTGCCTGCGCTGCAGCTTTCCCTCCTGCTGGCGCCTTCATCCAGCCAAGAGCCATCAGGTCCATCCGTGTCCTGCACCTCTAGGAGTAGGGAGATGGGAGACCCGAAGTCAGTAGCTTAGAATGGTTTGTGTTATGAGGGACCTTGAATGTTCCAGTCGCAGTAGGCAAGTTTCCCTTCTCCCAGACAAGAACAGCAGGGTTGGGTTGGAGATGATGGATGTTTTATTACTTGTCTAGCCGTTCCTGCTGCTTTTACATCATAGAATCATTAAGGTCAGAAAAGACCCAAGTCCAACCCCAGCACACCAAGCCCACTGACCACATCTCTCAGTGCCCACATCTTGAACACCTCCAGCGATGGTGACCCCACCACCTTCCTGGGCAGCCTGTGAAAATGCATCACCGCTCCTCCTGAGAAGAAATGAATCCTAACCTCCAACCTCACAAGAGCAAAAACCAAAAAGGATGAAACAGGAGCAGGACAAGTCTTCATGCCATCCAATTCTGAGATCTGGGGCTGAACGGACAGCTGCAGACTTGCAGAGGGTCAGCACTCAACACACCTTTGCCTTCCCATATCCAGCCACGGTGCTCAGCCACAGCAAAGGCAACAAACTCTCTTTATCGCATCACTTCCTGGAAATGGGAGGTGAGCAGCATCCAGACGTGCTGGAAACGCACACTTGGAGGTGGCACCTTTGGGCCCTTCTGGGCACAGTGAGTCACAGGAGCTATTTTAAACCCCCGCCTTAGGATGAGAGGAATGAGCAGCAGGTCCCACGGCTCCCTGGTAATGAAGCACTGTGAACACTGATCTCCCAGCGCTTTGCCAAAGTCCTGTGGGCAACAGCATCATTTCCATGGGGTGTGTGGGGAAACTGAGGCATGGCACACTGGCTTGCTGGAGACATTTCGTGGCAGAGCTTAAGAGCAGGGCTCAGCCTTTTCCTGCCCTATCACTCCCACAAGGGAAATGTCAGCCAGGAGAAAGTGCGCAGCAAGAGGCTCCTGGGTTTATTTATGGGTGCCAGCAGCTTGCAGCCAACGAGCAAGATGAGACCACAGGCAGCAGAGTCCCAGCAGCATAAGCACCTTTCTTTGGGTGGGACTGGCCATCAAGGGATGTCCCCAAGTCCCCCAGGTATGGGAGCTGAGGGCAAAGCCCTGAACTCATCTCAACCCTGGCAGAAATGAACAAAGTGGGGGGAGATGTCCCTTCCCAGAGCTCTGGAAAAACCCCGTGCTGTGACCCCAGGTGCAGGTTTCAGGCACCTGAAGCCTTGTGGGTTTTGCACCAACCTTACCAACATGGAGCCCGAGCTGATGCTGCCTCCGTGACACACTGAAACTGCATCACTGGGCTGAGAGTTGGTGGGGGTTTTTGCAAGGAAGAAACACTCTATTCACCATATTAAAAAAACGCCAAAACAAAACAAAAAACCAAAAAACCCACACACCGCAAAACCTTTCCAGTGTGTAAAGCTGAGTCAAATTTAGCAACTTCAGCTAAAGAAAAATATTTGTAAGGGGGTAATCAGAGTGTTTTTCATCCTTTTCCAAGCTTTTCCCCTTCCTCCAGGGTAATTTTTCATGTTTTTAATCACTGTGTTTGTTACAGTTAGGAGGGTGTTAAGCGACCCGAAAACTGAAACAGCTCTCGTTTCAAACCCAAGCAGCCAGTTCAGTTAACCTGAAATGACACACAGGCACACATCAGCGTTTGAAGGGAGAGCGGGTTGCAGGAACAGAGATCTCACCCCACTGAGAAGGCTGTGAGAAAAACAGAAGCAGCAAAATGTCATTTCAGGTCAACCCACGCTGAAATTCTTCAGACTTTCCCCCCACAGGAGCGCAGGCAGGGCCTGCACACAGCAGTGGTGACCCCAATGGAAACTGCCCCGTGCTTGCAACCTGCCCCAGGCCACTGCTCATAGCCTGTTCCTGCTGCACATGTGCACGGGTAGAGGAGGGCCCATGCCTGCTTGAATGTACGTAATCCTCCCTAAGCATGTGATCTGGATGGCTTTGGCTCAGGTTGGCTGCTGTTGCCAGCAAAAAGCTGAGATGCTTGGATTTTGTCCTCAGCATCCTTTCATCCCCCATCCCTTCTTTGGGGGCAGAATGGAGCTGATGAGCACCTCCCCATGCTTTCTTCTCCAGGGTGTTTCCAAACTCTCTGATAAAGCCAGGGAATGAACGGATCACGCGAAGACGACCTGTGAATCGCCATGGAAAAGCAGGAGGGAGATTTCTGAGAAAGACTGATTGCTCTGGCTGGGGAGAGACAGCAAAGCAAACCCACCCTGCACAGGTGGAGGAGACAACAGCACCGGAAGGGGCTTTGCAGCACCATAAGAGTCTGTGCCACGCTCAGCCTCTCCCTGACACCCCGGCCACTTTCCATTTCCCGGTGTAAGAACGCTGAGCTTCCAAACTTCCCACCACCAGCTTGCGTGCCCTCGCGGACACCACTCCCGCTCTGTGCACGTGTCTCAAAGCTGGTCGGGACCGCAGAAAATCCCACGTCAGATCCTTCACAGATCCCCGAGTCCAACCCCACGCAGCCCTACCCGAATCCCACCCTATGGCTGAGCGCCGTCCTAACGCTGCGGAGCTGCGCCGTGCCCGCTGAGGCAGAGCCTTTCCCTCGCACCCAAACTTGCACACATCTCGTAGACACGCAGCGACCACGAGCTCCGTGCGCGGCGCACGGCGGGGCGCCCCGCGGCCCAGTGTCCGCAGCACCGCCCGGCCCGCTGACGGAGGGCAGCGATCCGCAGCTGGGAGCCTCGACGCGCTCTTATTTTTTACCAGCCCGAAGTTTCCTTTCTCCGCTTCAGCCTCGGGACGGGAAAAGGAACCGATTCTCCTCTCAGCTTTCGATCTCGCTCGGAACTGAAAGCTGCCGGACCCGAAACGTCCCCGCATCCCGCGCGGGAGCAGCGAGCAGAGAGTAGCCGGGTTCCAGCAGCGCGGGGTGCTGGGCTGTGCCGCCCTCTGCTGTCCTCCAGAAACTGATTTTGTACAGAAATAGGCCGCTTTGGCACAGAAACATGCGCTTTTTTACACAGAAACGCCCGCTTTTGTGCAGAATTATGCGTTTTTCTCCCCCTTTTGGATCACCCCCATCGCTCGAAGGGCCCCACGAGGGGTTCCAGGAGGCGGCTCTGCGGCCACCCGGCGGCCGTTCACTGCGCGTGCGGTGACGGCGCTCCGGACCTCGGGGACAACGCGGGGCCGTCGGGGCTGGAAACGGCCCGAAATCCTCGGCGCTGCCCCGGCGACCATAGCAGCCGCGCAGAAGGCCCGCCGTTCGTTCCGCCACCGCCCCCCGCTGTCCCCCGGCCTTAACCCGCTGCCCCCCGCCTCCTCCCGTTGGTTTCGCCCTCAGAAATCAGGTGCCCGCCTGGCGCGTTTCCTCCCGCGCTACGAGATTGGCTCTTCCCGCTGAGGGCGGTGCTGAACGCTCCCCGCCCTCCCTTTCGTGAGGTGGGTGGGTTTTCCCGTCTTCCCCCCCGGTGCTAATGGAGCGCTCCCGCTCCCCCCCCCCCACACGGGGCGGAATGGTCTCTCCCTGTGCCCGCAGCCCCACCCCAGCCCTCCTCCGCCGTGACGTCACGCCATCTCCCACTTTCTATTGGCTGAGCCGCCGGGCCTGGAGCATAGCGGCCAATGGCGACGCTCTCCCCGCCCTCATCCAAGATGGCGCCGCCAGGGGCCGCGGGTGGGCAGTGGTGAGGCGGTCTGGGTGTGGGGGGGGCGCGCCGCCTTCTCCGCGCTCCGCCGCTGCGCCGCGGGGCCGGCCGGCCCGGTGGGCCCGCTGTTTGGCTGGCCGCCGGGCCCGGCCTTGCGTAGCTCCGTTATGGCGGCTGAGAGCGGGCGGCAGTTCTGGAAGCGGAGCGCCAAGCTGCCGGGCAGGTGAGCCGGGCCCGGTCCGGGCGGGTAACGACCCCGGGGCTGGGGGCTCGTGAGGGGGGCTGGGCTCCCTGGGGCCACCCTGGCTGCGGGGGCCGCGTGTGTGCCCCTCGTGTGGCCGGAGCCCCGCGGGCTGTAGTGGAGGAACGGGTCTGAGTCTTCGGCGATTCGCCCCGTGTGGAGCCTTTGGGGGTGCCGCTCTCCCGATTGAGGCCGCGCTGGGGGCCCTGGGCTGTGGCCGCTCCCCTCCTGCTGCGGCCTTCGTGGCGGTGGAGGAGAAACAGCGGCGCCCGGTAGGAAGCGGGCCTCGGGTAGGAAGTGGGGGGGGGGGAAGAGGGGCGAGGAAGGTTCCTGAGCGGCCGTGTGAGCAGAGCAGAGCACACCTTGGGGACGCCCGCAGTTCTGGTCCTCCCTTGCACCTCGTTTACGCTCAGTAGTCTCGTTTGTAGCTTGCCCTTCCCCTCCTGGTGCTCTTAGCTGGTTGCGGGGGCGATTAGGTTTGGGAATTGCCTATGAAAAATTCCCTCCCCGCAAGGTCTGCAGTGCAGCTGTGGGGCTCCGCTGTGCCTTTGCCTTTGGGGCCTTTTCAAAGCAGGTGGAAGGAACCGACAAGCCGTCCCAGCTCTGCGGATTCCCCGTAGGCTCATCCTTTGTTATTCAGGGGACGTGGTGCTGATGGTTGCACTTGGTGATCTTGGAGGTCTTTTCCAACCGTAATGATTCTGTGACATCCGTTGGGCTGGAGAGGCAGCCTAAGTTTGTGGCAACTAAAGAGAAAGCACTGAGCACTGTGCATCCCTCCTCTCTCTCCTGTGAGAGGATGGTGCTGTGCGGTCCCCAGGTTGCTCTGCGTCCCTGCAATCCCAACCCTGGATGTTGTGCTGGGCTCTGCTGCCAGCACCTCTCTTGCACAGATGATGATTTTAGAGCCAGCTTGGAAAGCTCAAACCAGGTGAACCGGTCTGGGAGGCAGTTCCTGCGCAGACAATGCGCTCGACATCAAGGCTTGTCAGAGCTCTCCCCTCGTAACAGACAATGGAAATACCCTGTCCTGTGTTGTGGAGGAGGCTCGTTACCAGTTCCGTATGCTCTGTGTGCCTGTCCTTTCCAGAAATTCTTACTAATAAATTGTTTCATGTCTCCGGGGCTGCCTTGCATCTTTTGCACTGGGAGTTCTCAACCTTGGGATTCTTTTGGGGTGTGCTGGCAGTTTGGTCTGGTGTGTTGTCCTGTGTGATGCATTGTTTATTTCCTGCCATATAGAGAGTTGAGTAGTAAGGCATCAGTGTGTGTGTTGTTTAAATGCTCTTTTAAAAAAGGGAGAAGCTGAGAGAGTCTGCTGGGAATAAAACATCTTCAGTCTCTGCAGTTTCCCTAACATGCTGAAGATGTGCTGCAGTGCCCATAACCTGAGCCCTGCCACGATCTGCCCGTAAGAGGTGTAACGCAGGTTCCACAGCAGAGCTCAGGCACAGATTGCATCAGGCACTGGGTAGGGAGGTGATGGGAAGTACCTTGTCCCACTGAGCTCTAAAGTAGGACAGGGGACTTGTGCTGTCAGTCTGGGAGCACAGCATCAGCACAGGTCTCAACTCCTGACTCGGTGGTGTTTGCTAACACATGGTGCTTGCCGTGAGCTTTCCATGTGTGCAAAAGTCAGAGTTAAGCTTGGAGACAACCAGTTCATCTAAATGATGCACTAGGGAGAGCCAGGCGAGTGAATAAATGAAGTATTTACTGGTTGCCATTTGCTGCCCTGCCTCTGTTTTCTGAGCTGTAGCAGTGGGATCTGCTGATGCAGCTTTGTGAGGCACTTTAAGATGCGCTGAGAGTCAGTGATGGGCTGAGCTGGAGGAGCAGGATCAGGCACTGAGTCTGCTCAGGTTCTGTGGTGCAAAGTTGTCATCTGGCAGCTGTGAAGGTGTGTGCATGTCTCAGGTCACCTGTTGCATGTCTCGGAGTATTTGCTCTGCTTCCTTTCCAGCTTGCTTTTTATGTACATGTATATATTTATATACAAACGTATGTGGGATGGTGGTACTCAGCTGTACCTGTCACCTTCAGCTGCCTGTATGGGAGCTCCAGCTGATGTGCTGTGCAATGGATCAGCCTGGGATGCTTCACCTGTGGGAGCCTGGGCTCTTCACAGAAGATCTGCCTGGGATGGAACACTGCTGTTGTGTCGGCCGTTAGCAGCTGCAGCAGCATCCGATTACTTCAGAGCATCAGGAAGGGATTTCTTCATGCACTGTCCCCTATTCTGACTGTTCATTTTGCTGATGAGCATCACACAAACCCACGTGTGGTTTTCGTCCCTTCATGTGGGAGTCAGGTCATGTACCTGTTGGTAGCATGTGGATGTTCCTGGGCAATGCTGGTCCCCTCACAGGGAAGAGCAGTGCTGTGACTGTTGTTAGAAGGTGTTGTGAGCTTGGAAAGACTCTGCAGGCTCCTTTCCTGTGGGGAGCTGCCATGAGTCATTTGGAAACAGCTTTTTTTAACCCCAATAATCTTTTTGCTCTGCCCACCCGTGAGTTTGCCTCTGTTTAATAGTCCTGACTCCTCCATGCTAATTACTTAGAAGACTCTTTGCTAGCCCTGACTGGAGGTGTGCCAGCACAGGGAGTCTTTCAGCACTTCCAGCAGCCGCCCTTTGCAGCTGGAGCCCACCCCTCTTTGGCCTCTCTGTGTTGTGGCTGTTCCCAGCCTCTGCCCTGGGTCTCCATGCCTCTCCCTTCTAGATGGACCTGTTGCTGTCACTTCCCTGGCACCCGCTTGTCCTTTGCTGGCTCTCCAACTGCACCAGGCTGTGATCTTCCCCCTGCCACAGCCAGACTCCATCTGAGGCTCCCGGAAAGCCCCAGTGACCTGAGGGAAGCCTGTCCTTTGTGTGCCAGCTCTGAACCTGCCCTTGTCTCTGCCGTGGGATGTGGGGCTGTGCTGTGTAGTGGGGCTGCAGAGGGCTGGTTGTGTCCAGAGATCCAAGTGTGACTTTTGGGGTGGCACGGCTGTGAATAGTTTCCCAAACTGAGGTAATAACTGAGGATCTCTGTCTCACTTGCCCAGCCTGTAAAACTAGCGATGAGTGGTGTCTGTTAGCTCCTTTTTGAGGCAGTGCTCCCCTGCAGTGCCAACAGCCCCCGGGCTCTCTGTGCCCTGGAGCACTTGTCCAGCTCCACAGGGGCTGAGCCATGACTTGTTCCAGACCACATAGGAAGTGGTTGGTTAAGCTGGGATTTGGGCCTGCATCAAACCTTGTACTGGAGGCTGCTTTGCTGTAACGTTGGCTGCAAGCCTGAGTGCCAGTGTGGGGTCAAACCCTCAGTGCTGGGGAGTCCCAGTGTTGCTGGATAGAGTCCTTCCCTATTGTGGAGGGCTCAGAGGTGTGGATTCTCTAACCCAGACAACTTTTGGATGAAAAAGAGAATGAATGTCAGTGCTTGTGGCAGGTGACTGAAATGAGCAGAGAGCAGATCTCTGCTCGAGGAAGCAAATCCCAGTTCAGGCTGGAAAGAGCCTAGGAGTTTAAACAAAGCTTCTCTTTGCTGCTGCAAAGAACAAATCTTCAGCTAATTGTGGCTCTTTGGATCTAAGGTTTTGAAGGCAGAAGCTTACAGGAGTTGATTTTGGTCTGTATTTGGATCCCAACAGCGTGCAAGAGGTGTTACCCCAGTCCAGGCTGAGCAGACCATCCGTGGGTGCCCTGAGATATTTTGCACTCTTTCTTTTTCCCTCCCTGCAGCATTCAGCCTGTCTATGGAGCACAGCATCCTCCACTGGATTCCCGCCTCACCAAAAAGTAAGTGCAGTTTGTCTCCTGGAGGCACAGCCTGTGCGCTTTGCTTTTCTTTCTCTTTCTTTCTTTGTTTGTTTTTTTTTGGCTCAGTCTTGGTAGAAGTCTCCAGCATCCCTAGCACTGTGATTCCATCCCCTCCTAATTGGACTGGTTCATTTTGCTGGGAATGTAAAAATGATGTAGCAGCTTCATTCACATTTCCCGAGCAAACTCAGATGGTACCAGGGCAGCCCTGCTGTGCATCCCCTGTGCTCTGTGCAGTCTGAGCTCTTCGGTGCAGCTGTGATGTACAAGAAGGGCTGTACAAGGAGTATGGTGCTGTCCTGGGCTCTGTGAAAGTTCACAGGAAAGCTTATCTGCTGCTGCTTTTGTAGCCAGAGATCTGCACTGGGCAAATGTAGGGAGAAGATGCATTCTTTAGCAGTGATGTCTGCACCTACTGGATAGGGAAGAGCTGAGGGAAGGGCGAGGTAAAGCGGCGTGGCAGCAGGCAGGGTCAGCAGCACAACCACAGCACCCTTCCCAGCAGGAAGAGGCAGCACTGATCTGCGTGGCCTCCTTGTCCCTGTCTCGTGCTGTGCAGCAGTGAACGTTCCTGTCCATGACGCTTCAGCTGGTGGACTTTGACTCCTGCTGCTTAAGGGTAAATGGAAAGGCTCCTCCTGCACCTGAGAAAAGAAACAGCCTGGTCTGTCTGCTGGGAGTGACTACAGCTGTGCCAGGAGCTTCCAGGAGCATAGACTGGTTCTGGCATGCCTCTCTCCAGGTCACAAGGCTTCTTTTTGCATTCATCTGCCTGTTTTCTGTGGGTTGGGAGGAAGCAGAGCTGGAGAAACTGTATGTCTCTCTTGTTTGCCCTTCTGAGCTGAGGAGGCTGGCACCTCTCCAGCTGTTAGCTGGCACTGTGGCTTTCTGTGCCCTGAGATCATACCAGTTTGGGCAGCCTCGAGGAGCTTAGTGCGTGCCCTGGGGTTTTGGAGGTGGAACTAGGAAACCGGGGGAAGCCAGGGACTGCCTGTGTGGAGCAGTGAAGGAAAGCATGTGGATTATCTAGCAGTGCTGCTCTGACATTGTTTCTCTCTGGCTTCCAGCTTCATCAAGGACCGCTCCAAAGCCAACGTGCTGCCTATGAAAAGTAAGAAGGCCTCCAGCTTTCATGAGTTTGCCCGCAGCACCAGTGATGCCTGGGACATCGGTGATGATGAAGATGAAGACTTCACTTCCTCTTCTTCCTCTTTGCAAACTTTGAACTCTAAAGTGGCCAAGGCCACAGCTGCGCAGGTCCTGGAGAACCACAGCAAAATGCGGGTGAAACCTGAGAGGACCCAGCCTGCTCTCAGTGACGTGCCCACCAACTGCAAGGTCAACAAGTCCAGCAGCGAGGCCCAGCTCTCCAGGATGTCTGGTAAGAGCTGTCTTTAGGAGCAGCTTCTGGAGCTCAATATTGTGGCTACAGACATGTCTGTCTTCAAGGATCCTTGAAGAGAGACAGATTCTGAGGAGTTTTGAAAGTCTATTAAATTCTTGGTCAGCATGTGCTGCTCTTAATCGAGGTCAGGATGAGACCCTGTGGAGGACCTTGCAGTTAGCTTATTCACTCTTTGGGTTGAAGCTCATTGGGGCATATCTGCAAGCTGGTTTTTCTGGGGTTCCCTCAGCTTCCTTCTGCCTCATCTTCTGTCCTTCCCATGTCCTCCCATATCTGATAGGGGAAGGCAGGCAGATATCTTGATGCGGAAGGAAGGAAATGGGGGAAGTGATGGGTTAGCCAGTCCACAGAGATCTGTTGCTGCTTCTCCAAGTGGCCAGCAGTGCTCTGTATGCTGGGGTTGGGCAGGAGAGGTGCTGCCTGCTGTGCTGAGCCTGTGGCGGTAGTCAGAGGAGCACAGTGGGGTTGAAGAGCTGCTGTCCCCTTCCCGTCCTCACCGCAGTGTCTGATCTGTGCAGAGGAGACCTGTGTGCGGACCCCCCTCCAGAAGCAGCAGTCCCTCCCCCTTCGGCCTGTCATTCCACTTGTTGCCCGAATCTCCGACCAGAATGCGTCAGGTGCTCCCCCCATGACAGTGAGGGAGAAAACCCGCCTGGAGAAATTTCGGCAGCTCCTTTCCAGCCATAACACGGACCTGGGTGAGTGGCGTAATGGGTGCCTGTGGGTGGGGAGGCAGAGGGAAGCCTGCTGCCTCTGTGAAACATGGTTCGCTATCTACTCCAGGCTGAAAAAAGATGACTTGCGTGTTGGCAGATGATGACCTCTTCAGCAGCTGCGTGTTTCCAGTCTGTTTCTGGTCGCAAGTGATGGTTGTGGTCACAGGGGGCTGTTGGGCTTTGCATGAGAACTGAGCCCCACTGAGAAGGGACCAGTGGTTAGCATTCTGGCAGCCAGTGCTCCAGTCCCAGTGCTGAGCCAAGTGTCCCCACTCTCCAGCCACAGACCCACATCCCCAGTCACTGCTAATGTGGAGCTCCGTGGAGGCTCAGTGTCTCCAGAGCTTTCAGGAGCAGACTGGGCTTTCCTCTCCTTTTAGGTATAGTGGTGCCTGGACGTGCCTAGGATCTAATCCATTGCCACCACTGTCCGTTTGCAGATGAGCTGAGGAAATGCAGCTGGCCTGGCGTGCCCAGAGAGGTCCGGCCTGTGACATGGCGTCTCCTCTCAGTGAGTACTTGGAGCTGGGATGCAGGAGGCTGGGGGGAATCTGGGGCATTCGTGCGCCTTCATGGGAGCAAATCCATACGTGGTTTTGCTCATGTTGTACCTGTGGCCAGCCTACCAAAGAGCTGTAGGATTTTTCTGGTCAGGGGTTGTAATTGCTACATCTCCTGAGCACAGACCCCAGGCAGGTGCTGGGAATGTGGCTTGTTGTTTCAAGAAATTGAATCCTGTAAAGTTGGATTGTACCAGATTAGAAAAGGCATCAGAGTGTGGGAAAGCCGAAGGCCACAACTACTCTTCCCCTGCTCCACATTCCCCATATCTGCTGCATCCATGTGCACAGCTGCCCGGCAGGACTTTAGAGGTTGGTTTGTGGTGAGGGAATAGGGGCTACCCTGAGGTTTCCTCCTGCAGGGTTATCTCCCTGCAAACATGGAGCGTCGGAAGCTGACCTTACAGCGCAAGCGGGAGGAATACTTTGGCTTCATCCAGCAGTACTACGACTCCCGGAATGAGGAGCACCATCAGGACACGTACCGACAGGTACCTGCCATCTGCGTGGCTTCCCGGCCCCTTGCCACTGCGTGTTTTTGAGCTGGGGTCGTACCAGGACTTCTACCTGTTAGTTGCAGGTAGAAGTTAGTGACAAGTACTGGATTAGGCCTTCCCTAATCCCATCTGAATTGAGCAAATAACTGGATTTCCCAGCCCATCTCTGAGCGAAGGATGCTGAACTGTAGGTGACTTCCCTGCGCGGCTGTAATTTGTAGCACTCATAGCACTCGTCAGCAAGTGCAGCTCCTGTGTGAGGGGCACTGCAGGGTGGATTCTCTTCTGTCATGTTGAGTTATTGTGTCCCTTAAAAGCATGGCTAATGTATCTGACCCATGCTCTCTTCCAGATTCACATCGACATTCCAAGGACCAACCCACTCATCCCCCTCTTTCAGCAGCCGCTTGTCCAGGAGGTAAGGGGACAGAGTTAGACCGACAGTGTCGTTAGACTGAGTAACTCTGCAGACCAAATGTCCTGGGTGACTCCCAAAACCTCGTCCAGCTGGTCAGGAAATACATGCTCACGCTGCCGGGTCTAGTCCTCAACTTTCTGAAACACATCAGTCTTGAAGACCAGGGGCTACAAGGTCAGCATTTTTTTCTGGCAAGAATTAGTAATAGTCCTGAAGCTTTTGTTCTGAAACAAATTTGATGAATTTGACACAGAGCAGGACATCAGTCGTGTTTCACTGCAAAAACGCCCCTGCACAAAGCGATGTGTGAGAAAATCACGTAGGGCTGTTGGAGAGGTGGCCAGGAGGTGTGAGCATCTGTTGTCTCGGTGTGTGTGTGGTATGTCAGAGTATGACGTCCTGGGGCTGGCTGGGAGTAATACATGTAGGTTTTGGAGGCTGCTCTGTTGGGTACTGCGATCTGTGATGTTCTGCTGGGAGCGCTGTGCCGACAGCTGATGGATAAAGAGCACAGGTAGCAGCCTTAGCTGTCCACGTGATGTTCAGCAAGATGTGCAGCTCTTGGAAAGTTGGTGTCGGCTCTTCTTCAAGCAGCAGTCTTGATGAGGACTCTGGATTGTCTTGCTCTGGAAAGAGTGGGCTGGCCTTTGTGGGGATCTGTGGATCATGCTGGAATCTCTTAGGACTGGTATCTTCTTGTCTTAACCATACTGCTGCAGAAGAGCCTGTCAGTGCATGACCTTTGCTCCCTGAGCTTAGCAGTTATGCTTTTCTGCCTCTCCTTTGTGCACGGCTAATGCAGGTACCTGCTTTCCTTCAATTCTTCCCTAGATCTTTGAAAGAATCCTGTTTATATGGGCCATTCGACACCCAGCCAGTGGCTATGTACAGGGAATCAATGACCTGGTCACTCCATTCTTTGTTGTGTTCCTCTCTGAGTATGTTGGTAAGTGATCACTGCCTCTTAACCGTAATGCTGTGAAGTGCTGGCATCGCCTTGCTGGAGGTGATGTGTTTTCTTTCAGCTCCTGCGCCATGCTAGAGATGCATCTTATGCATCTCTTAGTGCACCTTTGCTGCCTGGCTGAATTGACTTCAGTTTCATAACCTTGCTGAGCTCTGCAGAAGTTGAAACAGTGATGGTAGATTTGTGTTTGAATGTACTTAGAAGAGCCCACCCTCCTCCAATCTAGGTGCTGAGGGAGTTTAGGCAAAGCCTTGGTGCCCTGAACTTGAGGTGGTGGGGAGGATCTTGCTCTCAGAGCTTGAATTTGGAGCTCATTCTTGCTCTAGGAGGACAGACTGAAGTATAAAGAGACCCTGTTGAGAATGTAAAATAAACAGTTTAAATAATGATTCCTGTCCTGTGCTGCTAGTGCAGGTGTTTCTGTCAAGCTGAGAGTTTCAGAAACTAAATTGACTTCTCCCAGCTGCTTTTGGCTTTCTTGTCAGCCAGTTGCTTTTAGCTGGAGAGCAAGTCATTTTCACCCATGGGATTTTCATTCTTTCTCCAGCTCTTGCTGAGTTTTGGAGTTGACATGAACACTGGGGTGCCAAGAGAATGTTTAAGCATAAGGATCATTTTTTCACTGTAAAGAGAAAGGAAAAAGATTTTCTAAGACAATGACAGAGAAATCCTCTTGGACAAATGATTTAGGATCTGATCCACCGCTTATTGAAGTCCCTGAAAGCCTTCCACTGTCTACCTGAAGCTTTGTAAACTAGTAGTGGTCCTTGTCTTTTGAGGACACTGTGAAGAGCTAAGCCACCTGGGCTTGCACTGTGTGGTCAAGGCTAATCCCCAAGCCATACCGCTGCTCCTCACAGTCTGAAGGAGAAAGCAGTTGGGGCTCTACTGCTACCCGGAGCGAATTCCCTATTCTGGGAAGTAAAGAGTGAGTCAGCTGAGCCAGAAAAGAGCTGGTGTACGTTGGAGCTGCTTTAGATACTTCGTGTGACTTCTTGCAGTCATGTACCATGTTGGTCATTGGGTTCATGGCTGGGACCTGTCTGACTGGGGCCACACTTCTTCCCATCTTTCAGGCCCCTTTTATCCTTTGTGGCTGCCTTCTGTCACTGAGAGTTGCACTGACCCAAGCAATACCACACATCCTCTTCTGTCTCCAGAGTTGGGGACTCAGAGCCAACCTTTAGGTCAGGAGCACGATGTGCTCACGTCTCAGCTGCCATCTAAACCCCACGAAGTGTCACTCACAGGAGCTCTGCCTGCCCCCCACCCCCAAGTCCTTGGGTAACTGTGGCACTGGTGGCAGTGTCCTGGCTGCCCCAGCCTGCCTTGAGTGGCTGTCACTGTGCCACCAGCTCCCTTTCAGAGCCATATGTTGAGTGTCTTGTTCCTTTCTACGGGGCCCCTTAATGATGCTGCTGAACAGATGTTTGAGCTCAGCCATGCCCTCTGGAGACTATTTTTATGTTTAGTTTTTTTTTCCCCCAAAGCTTCTTGCAGCCCAGGATCTCCTAGCAGTCTTCCTTTGCTGGCAGAGTTGCTGTTCTTGTCCCTTTGTCCCTGTGAGTACAAGCAGCAGGCTCTTCCCTGTTACCTAGGCTTATTACCACCTCCCTTTCTTTGTCACACTTGTACTGAGCTCATCGTGCCTGGAGCCCTGCAGGGAGCTTTTCTGCACGAGGTGACAGCTGTGTGGCTGAGCCACCAGTACCAGCTGTACACACTTGGCCTCGTTCTGCTCCTTAACCTTGCCCATATTCCTGCTAGGGGGAAGTGATCAAGGAAAGGAGGTGGATATCTGCTAAACAGAGTTTTTGCCTGCCTTTATAATTACCTGGGAACTTGAGGATGGCTGTTGAGGAGCCAGAAGAGGAGTAACTGCTAATTTTGGATGATGACCTGCAGCTGGAAAACAGCCTTGTTACTTCTTAGCAGTGTCAGCACTGCTGGATTTGCCTCTCCTGGTTGTTGGCAGAGCTGCCCTCACCCACAGAGAATGTGCCCTAGGAGCAGACCCATGTCAGAGCATTCATGCATGCACTGCTCTGGCCTCTCAGGAGTGACAGCAGCAGCAGAGACCCTCCTGGTCTCCTGAGCAGCTGGGCTGGGTTCAGATGGTGGTTGCTGAGTATCTTGGGTGCTGGTGCTCTCCTGGCCTGGAGAAGCAGGTCGGTGCAGAGGTGTCCTACTTTGTACTGGGAAAGCTGTTCATTTCAGCTTGCTGGCAGTTGCATGCAAGGAGCCTTAAAGCCTCTTGGTGTTCCTGTGAACCACCTGGTGCCCCCCATCCCCCTTATTCTCCTCCCTGTCTGTTTTGCAGAAGAGGACGTGGAGAACTTTGATGTGACAAACTTGTCACAGGATGTTTTACGGAGCATCGAAGCTGATAGTTTCTGGTGCATGAGCAAACTGCTGGATGGGATACAGGTGAGCAACTGGAGCCGCAGAGATGTCTCCCCTTGCCTGATGCAGCAGCACCACTGCCTTCTCGCTGTATCCCTTGGAACTAGTGTGTGACTAGCTGGGCCTGCAGCACTCCCAGCATTTAAAATTGGAGTTGTGCCTACGTTTGTTCTCTGACAATGTACCCAGCATTAATGGACATTTGGGCATGATGTGGGGGCAAAATCCCAGGGAAGAAAAGAGCTGCAGCTGTGCAGTGCAGCCAGCACTGTCCCAGCTTCCCAATTACTTGGGACTTCACAGCAGACAGATCCTGGCAATCAGGTGCTGTATATCCTTGGCTGGTGCAGAGCTGGGGATCTGGTTTTGGTCATTTCCAATTGTTGCAGCTGCTGCTTCTGACTGATGGCCTTTCCCTGCAGGATAACTACACCTTTGCACAGCCAGGGATCCAGAAGAAAGTCAAAGCTCTGGAGGAGCTTGTGAGCCGGATTGATGGTAGGTGACAAGGGAATTTGAATGGGGGAAGACTTCTGTCACAACAGTGAGAGGCTTTCTTTGCAAGTAGGAAGGAAACCTCTGTACAAGGAGTAGATGCTTGCCCACAGTGAGTAGGGGCAGAGCATGGTTGGCCAAAAGGCTCTTGGGGGAGGGATTTCATTGGCAAGGTAGGACGAGGTGAGTGGTGGAGGTGTTTGTGAGACCTCAGCCTTGAAGTACATGTAAGCCATCATGATTTGGACAGTGCCTTATGCAGGAGCTTGGGTGCTGTGATCCCCAGGTGTGTAAGTGAATTGTGCTGTTTCAGAGCAGGTACATAATCACTTTAGGAAGTACGAAGTTGAATACCTGCAGTTTGCCTTTCGTTGGATGAACAATCTGCTCATGAGGGAGCTGCCTCTTCGCTGCACAATCCGCCTTTGGGACACCTACCAGGTATGTGCGCTTGCTGCCATCCCTTCTTGGCTGCTCTCTGTAGGGCCACCTCCTCGCACAGGGAGGTGAGGCGCCATGCAGCTGGGGAGGTTAGAGGAGCAAAGCGTGGCCTCTGGGGTGTTTATAGACAGCTGAAGGGGACATGGACATGTTTGGAGGAGCTGTGCTCCAGCAGAGCCATAGGAGCTGACCCAGAGTTTTGTCGCCTACAGTCAGAGCCAGAGGGGTTCTCGCATTTCCACCTCTATGTCTGTGCCGCCTTCTTGATCAAGTGGCGGAAGGAGATCCTGGATGAGGAAGACTTCCAGGTGAGTCCCCAGTGTGTGGGGCTAATTCTGGGCAAAAGGGGAGGGAATTGCCTCGGGTGGGAGCCCGCAATGGATATGGATATGTGACGGCAGCTCAGCTGTCATCTCAAAACTGGCTCTAAGATCACCCAGTCTCAGGAGTTTTGCTCAGAAGTAACCCGTAGCCTTTGTGCTCAGGGCGGAGGACTGAGCAGTTGGACAAATACCAGCTCTTTCCTAGGTTTGAGCTTTGGGCGCAGTGAGTCCTACAGTGGCTGCCTTTTGCTGTCTGATTGTAACACTGGATGGGAGCGCCCTTTCTTGCAAGAGGTTTGAGGGCTTCTGAGGGTGTTTCACTTGTTCAGACTTGACACGAGCACATCTTAATGCTCTCCTGAGCCTTTCAGACCTGCCAGCATGGCGACCCAAAGCTCCTGAATGCTGCTGCCTCTGTTCATTCTGTCCCTGGGCTTCCTCTGGGTCTGTATTTTGCCATCAGCTGCCCCAGTGTGAGCATCTTCTCTTCCAGGGCCTTCTAATGTTGTTACAAAACCTGCCGACGATACACTGGGGCAATGAAGAAATCGGGCTCCTCCTTGCTGAAGCCTACAGACTCAAGTACATGTTTGCAGACGCTCCCAATCATTACCGCCGATAGGTGCCAGGACTCAACTCCCTCCTCTGCCCACCTCCTCCTCCTGGCCCATCTGATCACTGTGGCATTTTGTCATCCACGTCCTCGGATGCTTCAGCTGGGAGCTGCTCTTCGCTGTACAAAGCTCACGTTGACTCAACTCTTCTGCGTGCCTGTCTGCCACTCCACACACCTGGATGTGCCACTCCAACCACTGTCAGTATTTCACTCTGTGCTGGGGGCCTGAGCCAGGGAGAGAAGCTTGAAGGGGCAGGGGACAGCTCTACAGATAACTGAGCTCTCCCAGCCCTGCCTTGGGCTTGTCCAGCTGCTGGTTGCCTTGCTATGCTGTGACACGTTTGCCCACTGCTGCACCTGTGTACACACATGCTCGTGCCTCACATGTGTGTGCTGCCCCGTCTGCTCCCTTCTCTCTTCAGCTGCAGTTTGATCCAGCTCCCAGACAAAAATGCCTTATCAGTGACTGGCTGGAGAACTTCCCTGGGGCTGCAGGGCGAGAAGTTTCTCAGGGCCCAGCTTCATTCCTCAAGCCTTGTGGGTTCATGAGGGAGCTGCTCCCACCTGCCCTCTCCTCTCCCTCCTCTTTGCCTTTCTTCAGGTGTGAGACAGCGTGGTGGCACGGTGGGGTTAACCCCCCCCATGTGCTCTGCATGATGCACACCGCTGTGACGAGACGCTCTGATGTGCCATCGGCGGGAGGGCAGCAGGGGGACTTCTGAAACTCCTTGCACAGCCCCCACTCTTCCGAGGCGTTCTGTGTATATTGTGTTCTTGTGTATATGGGTCAGAGATGTACAATATATGTCCTCCATTTGTAGCAGATATGATTTTATATTTATAACGTGGGTCCCTCGTTCTCCCTGTCCTCTCCATGGCCTCCCACCTCCCCTCTGGAAGTGGGGTGAAGTCAGAGCCACGGGTATTTCTGCCCTGACGTGTTTGGAGTGTTGAGTTGGTCAGGAAGATGTGTGTCAGAAACGTGCATCTCGAGGCTTCCCCTGCAACGAGGAGCGTGGGAGTTGGAAGGGGATGGGAGCTGAGAGCAGGTTGAGGAGATACAGGGTATGGTGCTGCAGGGCACCATGGTGCCAGTGCCACCAGTGGGCTCTTGAGCACCAAAGATCCCCAGTGCGGTGCTGGCTGTGCCTACTGCTCCCCACAGTGCGGATGCATCCTCCGAGAGAACGCAGCCAGAAACCACCCTGGGTTCTTAAATGAAACCAATTGTGAATGTTTTATCAGGCTGGTTTCCTTCTGTCTCCCTCCTGCGGAGGGCTGCAGGGGGGGGGAGAAATATGACCCCCACATTTCTTGGGGCAGAACATGGAGGTGCCCTGTGGGAAGGGGCAGCAGGGGCTGAGCATGTGAAAAGCAGAGCCTTGTTGCCAATAAAACTCCAGTGTCTCAAGAAACTGCTTTCCTATTCCAGAGTTGCTTTTTTCTTCTTGGGCAGTTAGACTTCTCCTTTATTTCAGTGTGCACCTTCTGTGGTTTCTCTGAGCCAGACCTTTGCTGCTCTTTGGCAGTTTGACATAACTCATTAAAAAAAGAAAAAAATATCAACAGAAGCTCGGGCTGAGCGCAGGACGGGGTGGTCTGGCACCTGCTTGTGTGTGGACTGCACAAAAGCTCCTTCATTGCCCCCAGGGCCTTCGGGTAAGTCACATTCCTCCCTCATGCCTTATTCTCCCTCTCCACAAAACCCTTTAGCACCATACTAAGGGAAAGCACTAATTGTCTGAGAGTTGAAGTCACAGCATAGTCCCTGCTCCCTCCCCTCCCTAAAAAAAAAAAACACAAAAACCTGAGACCCTACAAAGTCACTGTAAGATCTCTGCTCTTGTGATTTTAATCCTTTCCCTATGGCTCCTCACTTTCATTTCCTATATTTCTGGCTCACAGGGAGAAGCTGGGGGCAGTTGCTGATGGTTCCAGGCACGGGAGATGCCAATGTCATGGAAACTTTTTATCCACTGAATAATTCAGTAAGTCATAATTTCATTTGTTCAAGGACAAGGAAGAAATGATGAAGGAGGTGGAGGGAAGGTTTTATTAGTATGTAATAATCCCACCCAAAAATGGCATCAGGGAAGTGCAGGGGCAGGCACTGATGTAGGGCTGCAGAGAACTGCTTTTCAGACCTTCCCTAGGAGGAAGCTGCAGGGAGCTTGATCCTTCTTGCAACAGGTGGAAAACATTAACAAAGATGTTAATAACTCACCTTTTACTGCATTCTTATGTCTTCATATACACTGCAGGTGTATGCCAGGCAGCTGTGCACCACAACACCCTCCTGGCTACAGAAACTGTCCTTCATTCATTCTGCTGGGTCAGGTCACACATGTGGAGGGAAAAGGAGAAGGTCTGGAATCTGCACAGGGAGAAGAATGCTCCTCAGGGTAGAGTGATGCTCAGAGAGCCACACTGGAGCACCTAGCTCCCATCTCCATCTGTTGGAGGACTCTGCCTGTATCCTGGTGCTGCAGGAGCCCCCAGACCCACAAGCAGAGCCCAGAGATGGGATTCACACCCCACATTCCCACTTCCCATCCCTATGGGGCTCTGCAGCCACCCCAGGCCAAGGGCTGCCAGATGGGTCCCCTCCTGCAGCAAGGAACAAACTCACCTGCAGGAGGCACTGTGAGGCCACCCTCCCTCCAAGTCCTCCTTCCCTTTGTTCCTCTTCACAGCTGCTTCATGCCTGCATCAGCCCATGTGTGTCAGCTGCGCAGCAGCAGGTGGGCTGAGCTCCCTCTGCTAAAGGGGGGAGAAAAGAGTGAGTGGGAACGGCAGTGCCTGATCAGGAACCAGGGAGCCCTGCTCTGCCTCCACTTCCCCCTCAGCAGGGATGTGGCACTGAGCAGAGCCTTCACACATCCACAGCACCTGCTGCCATCACTGCCTACCCAAAAAGCACAGCAGCAGAAATCCTTTGTTTAATACTGTAGAACATTTATTTCTCAGAGAGAAAATATAGTCTCAGACAGTCAGATTATAGTAGGTAAAATTAGCATTTTTTTTCTTTACAAGCATAGATTTTCTTATTACCTCTCTTATACCATCTGATATAAACAATTCTAGAAAGCAAATAAACTCACTTTCTACAATAAATAGAGCAATCTGTGCTTTACAGCAGTGACAGTCACGTCTCGGGCCCGTAGCAAACAGCAGATCAGCCACTTCCCGTTCTGAAATGTCATTTAAAAACAACCAACCAAAAAAATAATAATATCCCAGATTCTGAAAACGTACACAGGTCACAAGTCCACAGCTGCGTTACCACCCAGAGAAGTGTATGTTCCTTTAAGTTACACTGTGTGCATATAAAAGACCCAGCGACACGACTGAGGACTTCAAGAACGGTGACAGTAAGTCTCAATAACTTAGAGCAGTACTGTACAACTATATACAGAACGTCCTTCCCTCGCCACACCCCAGGGGCATTATTTCTATTTTTACAAAATCCTATGCCCCGTCTCTGCATGTTAAAGGAATCTTCCTTAAAGTGTGGCTCCGCGTCCCAATGTATAAGAATTGGTATTTCTAAAAAAGTAGACCACGTAGAAATGGCAGTGATTACTCCCCACTATTCAGTATTATTATTTTGACCCCACATTCTCTTCAGTATGAAAAAGTTAAAATAATAAAAAAATATCGAGTTAAAAAGCAAAATGGTGATATTCAATCTACAATCTTGCTCTGCACCTTTGGTTCTTAAAATGGGAAAGCAGAAAAAGGGAACACACAACAGAAGAGATCAGAGAAATTTTAAGTCCTTGGCTAATAGAAAAGGGTTTGTCGTCTGTTTCCAAACATCGGCTGCCCATTTTTGCAACGCAAACTCAGAAAGTAAAGAGGGGCTGCAGCAGAGCCAGGCTGGTTTGTTTCTTAATGGATGACAATGCTGGAGACCCACACAGCAGGAAGGGATGCACGTATGTGAGAGAAGGCAAAAAGGCAAAATGGTCGTGTGCTCTACTTAGTGCTTGGTTTCAACCCAAACCAAGCCAGAGGAGAACTTGAAAGAGACAGAAAGAAGAACGGAAGAGGAGCCTGACACCAAATGTGCATCCAGCAACACAAGCGATGCGTCTCCCTCCAACCCTGATCAACCTCACTGCCTGCAGAGCTGCCCCAGCACAGGCACCTCCAGAATCAGCTTCGTTTCTTCAGAAAAAGAAGTTATCTTTGCTTAGACTCAAGGCTGTACTAAACCATGGTATGAACTGCTACTGCAATGAGCATAGTCACAGAAATCCGAATTTAAGTGTGAAACTACCAAATACATTTCTAGGCCATAAATGCACACCAAAAAACACCACAGGTAATTTGTTTTTCATATTTAAAGCTCTGTGCACCTGCATGTATGTGTGTGCAGCAGAGGGGAAAGTTACCAAAATACCTCACTCATTTCCAAACGCAATGCAAGAAATCTAACGTAAAGCACGATGTATGTAGGCAGGAAAATCGTGATACTGCCTCCCTGCTACCATTTCTGGGATGGGACAATCAATTTCATTTAGAAAAACAAAAAGGCCAGTGACGGTCAGAGTAAGTTTGGCACAAGAAAGCCCAGCTGTGATTTCTGTACAGGATCCTGGTTTGCTTACAGGGGCGATGGGTTCAGGGAATGACTCAGGGCTGACTGACACCCAAACTCCTGGCAGCACGGAGGAGGCAGCAGCAAGAAAGTGCGGCAAGAAAGTGCGCACGAGGTCCAAACATCTCAGCGTCGAGCTCTGCTGCAGCAGCTCACCGTGGCTCCCGCCACCCAGCAGCTTTTCCTAACGCCTCGCTCCTGGCCCCGCACACCGAACATTTCGTCTCCTGCCAGCTCTCCAGCAGGACACGTTCACAAAGACCCCACGGCCTCCCTGGCGCGCACCGGGCACCTCGAGGAGCGCCGCCCACTGCTGGGAAGGCGGGGCGCTTCGGCCGCTCGGCGCCGGGCTCCTTGTGCCGACACAGCGACGCCTGGAGGAGGACCGAGGACCGGCCGCCCAACGCTCACAGGTAGCTGGACGGAACGAAGGGATGATCCCCCCGCACGCGGCTCATGTGAATCATGGCTCTGTCATACGCCACCTGCACGGACTTGCGGATGCTGGTTTTTCGTCCTTCCATCATCTTTAGCTTGTCCACAGTGTCATCTACGCCGAGAGGGTAGACCTTGTCACGTGGAAGCCACTGCCTGCAGCAGAAAGGAGAGCACAAAACCCTGTCACCAAGGGCATCGGGACAGGGATGGGGGAAAAGGAGAGCAAGCACCTGCAGGCCTCTTGCAGCCTTTGGCTGAGCTCTCTGCAGGAGGCAGGCTGCTCCGTGTGCCGGCTCTGCTGCACAGCTGCAGCAGGCCAAGGGATCGGCCCGAGAGCCACCAAGACGTGGCCAAGTACTCCGGCCCCTCAGGAGCAATTAATCACTGGTCACTTCTCCCCAGGAACAGATACTTTCATATGATTTACTTTTTTTCAAAAAAAAAAAAAAAAAAAATTAGCCCCCTACAATAGTGCTGTGAATGCTTAAATGCCAGCATTGGACACGGGAGAAGCATCTGCAGCCAAAATACCCTCCTGCACGAGCACTGATTTCTTTTGACTCTCCTTCCTCAAACCTTTCAATTCTCCTTAGAGCTCCAGGGGAAACTGGGAAATTTTTGTATCCCACAGAGCAGCAGACATAGGGAATTCCAAGTAAGTTTTACCACCAGAGAACTCAGCCTTCCTGGAGCCTGTAAGCACCACGGCTGGGGTGAGTGCAACTGCCTGAGTATCATCCAGAAACAGGCAGCTTCCAGTACTCACACCCCACGTCCATGCTGACCAAAAAAGTCTCAAGTTGCAAGCCCTCAGTCTGCACCAAGTCTGGTGTGCACTCATTAGCCCGGGTTAAGCATCACACTAAGAAGGGCAGCACCTTTCTGAATGAAGTCCAGCCCCTGGGGGTCACATCTCAGCTCAGTGCATTTTACAGGCAGCCAACACTGGCAGCCCAGGGCTCTTCATGTGCCTGAGTAATTTTGTGATGATGTGATCTCTAGGTGGAGGACGTTCTGCTGTTCACCATGGCAATGGAGATGTCCTGTTCTTGGGACTGGGAAAAGCAGGCCATCTTCCTCACTTTTCTTGACAACTGCACATTTAAATTTGCCAATTTCCATGTAACATGACCGTAACAGTGGTACCTGTGTGTTCCCCTCTACTAAAAGAGGAAATCAAAACATTCTTCTCTGCCATGGCACTCACCAGAGGCCCCAGCCTGTCTGCATCCACTCACCAGGTTCTCTTGTTGTCAAAGAAAAGGACAAGGAAGAGCTTCTCGCCTGCCTCTGTCTGTCTCTGCTCCCCCAGCTTCAGCACATCCATGGGTGGGACTGGGATGGGGACTCCATTGTGGAGCAGCCCCTCACGTGGCATCTTGGGATCAATTATCTGGTGACACAGGAAGGACATTTAAGCACAAACCCTTTCAAGAACTGCAGAAAATGTATTCTTTTTCCTGCTCTTTCAGTCTATCCAAGCTAGATTATTAAAATCTACTTAGGAAAATTTTTTTACAAAGAGACACTGAGGCAGAGCAAGCAGTTTTGCTTACGCATCCTATCTTCAAGGCTTCTCCTGTGGAAGGGAAACCAGTCAGTCCAAAAACCGAGCATGTGAACTTGGGAAAAGGAAAAGGAAGTAGGTTCTGTGTGGATACAGGTGCACATATGATAACTGGTCATTTAGGACAAAGTCAGCATTGTGTTCAGCAAAAGATTTCCCTCCCTCTCCAAACTTGAACAATAAATTCAACATCAGTGCTGCACTCAGCAGGCATGACATATTTCACAGCAGATCCATTTTGGTGCAGTTCTATTGGCTTCAGTGGAATTGCTCAGATCTACACTGCTACAAGATGTGAATTGGAGAGTGAACAGGAGAGGAGAGACCTCCTCTGGCACCGAGAGAGCAGTGTTTTGTGAATTCTCTCCAATGCTCTGAAACAGTGAGCACAGGAAAAATTAACAGTGCAAAGGGAAGAAAAAAGCCAGCCACATACTGCATGGTTTTGGGAAGTTTTCTTTTACGTCTGGCTACGCTGCACACTAGTGCTGCGTTCTGGGCTGCCTGCACTGCTGCTACAGACTGCAAGAGAGCAGAAGGTACTTACCAAGGCAGGGTAGGAGGGATAACCACGGCACTTTGCCCACACAAGCTCCAAGGGCTCCAGCTCAGCCTGACTCTCAAAGGACATCAGGAGAGTTCTGCCTAAGGGACAGAAGAACACATGGCTTAGGAGGGCCCAAGGCCCACCAAGCCGGATCTGTCCTCAGTGAAACTGATGAAGCTGCATCTGAGATTGCTTTGGGCCACTGTTCAGAGAGCTCTTTTTCATTCCTCCAAAATGCAAATGCCCAGACTGCTGTGATGTCACTGGCTTTGGGACTATTTGATTTTTGCAGGAAATGCCTGGTTCCCATTGACAGAAGTGTTAGCTAACAATTTTTTCAAACTCAGGTAAGAAACGTTGCAGGAGATCCATTCAAGACATGAATGACTCATCTGCTAGCTCCTGGTCAAGGAGCAATCTGCCTTACTGCAAATCTCACAGCAAGCAGTGCTCACATCCTGGGGAATGGACAGTACACGACTTTACCAGAAGTCAAACCGAGTCTGGAAAACACTGAATACAACACGAATGTACTGCGAAGCCAGATCTGATGGGCTTCACCATTATTACATGACAAACATATTCATCTATTAACGAAATAATCTTATAAGACACAGAACAAAATGATACTAGTTCTACCAATACAGCCCCACTCCGTAAGTTTATCTCCAAGCAGGGTGGTGAGCACTGGGTGCAGGCAGTCAAGGGACTCCATCCTAGATCCTGCAGGAGGGTCAAAGCTGAATTCTGATTCAGCAGCACCATCATAAACCTGCAGTAACTCTTTCAACGACAAACCATAACCAAGATGAGAGTCTGGTCACAGGAGTGCTGCTACACTACTGCACTGCTTTGGGTAGTTAGGAGTGCTACTTACTTACACCGCTGTACAGCAGTCTGACAAAGATACTGACTTTGTTACCAAGACCTTGAAAAGAAAGAGCAATAGGAGAGGAAACAGCTATGAAGTCATCTCCAGAGAGACATCTCTTATAATTAGGATTTACTGTTTGCATTGCACTGTCGTGACAGAGAACTAGTTGTAAATCTGGAGAGGGCAGCGCCAGGCACATCACTCCAGACTAACAATAAGCACCTACCTGAGGAGAACTCAGGGCACAGGCAACCAGCACAAGTGAAAGCAGAAGCAAACACGCAATAGCCTGAATTAGTCAAAAGCAGCATGTTAACACACAGCACAGGTCAGCATCCTGCCTGCGTAACCTGGGTAGCTCCTGCAGGACCGGCTTCCAACATGCACTGAGAACTGCTTCCCCTGGTTCGGGTAGGATGTCAGCCCTCTGTGCTGCAGGACACGACAGAGGTGTCCTGTAAAGCTGAGCTCCTGCGAGCCATTCTCACCTGAGCTGCCGTAATCAGAGTCTCCATTCACACCTTCCAAGAAGGGCACCCGAGAAAGGGCTGGCTTCCCTCGACTTCGCTTAGGAGGCATCAAACCACTGTCAGAATAGGGAAAAACAGATTACCCTTAAAAACACACCAAATAAACCGTCCCC